AAAAAAAAAAAAAAAAAAAATAGCCCCTTAGCCACACAGGCACTTGCAAAATGTGAGAACTGGACTCCAGGGGAAAGAGCCTAGATCTGCGGCCTACAGAGATGCCCACCTGATTCCACTCCTACTGCTTCCCAGCAGTGGAGCATTGCCTAACCACTCAACTCTCCGCTCAATTGCTTACAAAATTGGGATATTCACACAATTTCATAAGATTGTTGTGAAGGTCAGAAGAAATAAAGGAATGAAAGAATGAAGCCCTACTCCTGGCACATGAGAGGGGATCGATAAATATTTGGGTTGTTGGACGTTTTCCTACTGTCCTACACATGTCACTGTATTTGTCAATCTGTTTCCACGGCACTCTCCTCCCTGGCATCCTGACTGTGAACACCTTGAGGGCAGGGGCTGGCTCTCATTCATTCACAGTTGTATCCAGCCAAAGGCTTTCAATAAAATTTGGTCAAATGAGTGAATCATTTTACCTGAACCTCAAAGCAAGGAGCAAAACCAGCCAACTCAGGTTTATTTTTTTGTCTCTACTCCAACACATCCTCAGATCCTCAGTGGAATAAGAGAGCCAAGAGGTTGGAAACAGAGGAGGGGCAGAACATTTCTGGATAATCAAATACAGAACTGCCCCCCGCCCACTCCATTACCCAGAGGCCTGAGACTGCAGAGGGAGTAGACTTGGCTAAAGCCAGTTTCTCCCACAAGGAACAACCAAGCCAACCACAGGTAGCTGTGGCTAAACCATCTTGGCATCATGAAACACACTGTCTAGATTTTCTTTCTATTCCTGAACATTTCCAGGGAGATGCAGAAAATGGAATCCAAAGGCAGTATTGCTAAGCTCACTGCAGACTCTACCTGCAGCAGGTTTTATTTTTTTTATCAATTTGTACATTTTTAAACTGTATTTAAATGGAATCATACTTCTGTGTCTGGCATCTATTGCTCACATTATTTATATACATATTTCTGAATAGATTTTATTTTTTATTTTTTTAGTGTAGTATTAGGTTCACGGAGATTTACCATAAACCCACTACTC